TTATTATTATTATTATTATTATTATTATTGTCATTATTATTATTATTATTTAGTCAAGTAAAGATGAAAGTAGGGCTAGCTAATCTCACTGAGGTTGCTGTTGAGACCGGCGTAAAATATTCTCAGGCTATGTTAGATTATCTATAACATTTTTAAAAGGGACCGAAAATAACTTTTTAGCTTAGCTGAATTTCTATCGTTAGAAGATGAGCCTTGTCGAGGAGACAACATGGCGGATTTATTAAGTCAATATAAGGGTCGAATCCCACGCCAAGTGCTTTTAAAGAAATATCGATTTCGTTAAATACTGGTTCTGGCTAAAAGTCGATGGATAGGTTGGTCTGATGGAGCGGATTGTAATTAACTATGATCAGATAGATGCTCAACTAGAGGGGGAGTAAAGTATAAGAGGATCGATATCCTGAAACAACGACGTCTGGGCTGATAAAAAAATCAGGGCACGGCTAACTCACAGAAACAACCTCTGGGCTGATCAAAGTTTATGGTATTACAAACTCACAGATCGAACCCTGAAACAACGTCTGGGTTGTTCTAAGTCAGTGCAAGGCTAACTCACAGCATCGAATCTTGAATTTCAATTCTAGGCTGATCAAAATAGGCATGGTTGACGCATATTTTGAAGCCGTGCAGCTCTAAATCTGCTAATGGGAGTCTATGCTATTGATTAGAATTAAGACTGAGGTAGAATTCCTTGGAACCCTCAGGATACTAAAGATAACTGAATACAAACATGCTTTGTCGGCTGGAAGTCCGAATCGAAGCGAGGGAGGAAAAACTGTTGAATCTTTCAGAACTTTAATTCAATTCTAGTTAATGACTTTTCGTAGGTCTTCATGGGCGTCAAAAAAGGTGGTGAAGAGTTGTGGGGGCAGCAAAAACGGACAGGCAGCTTGCTGTTATTGTGATTGGAGTTCTTTGTCGTTTTTTTTTTCTTCTTTTTTTTCTTTCCTGTGCTTTGAGGATTTTTCTCTAGACTTTCGAGTATTCCTCCGTTCATAAAAATAAACAATTCTGCTCTCTTTAGGAAATTAATATTTTTCTACAGGTAATTACGTTCTTCAGTTTTCTTCCCTCCATAAAATTAMAAGTAAAGAATCCTGCTCATTGCTTCTCTCTCGTGTGTTATACGTTGAGTTTTTTTCCTGGGTTCTAAATTCGTAAGTATCAAATAACGATTTGCATGGAATAGATTGTGTTTTTTCAGAATTTTCAGAGATTTCAGATATATATTTAGGTGAGAATATTAGAAAACTTTATTTACTCTCTTTCAACTATATAAATTGCATCCAAGTCAACGACAATCAAATAATTATTTATAAAAATAGAAGAAACTATAGAGTGAAGGCATATAACCCGTGAAAAGAAAAATACTAGTTTAGTTAACGTGTAATAGTCAATTATTATATAGATATCGATGAAATACCAGGTTTTCTCTAGTGTCGAAAACTTGATATCTTTCACCTGTTGAAGATACCATATCTTTCACACGTGGAGATATCGCTGTTGACATAGTAACGTATTTTAATAAAGAATTTTTGAGCTTTTGTTTTATTTAAGTTTCATCGATATCTATATAATAAACAGAACATTACATGGCCGCTTGGAGATACGAATTTTATCTTCTCGTGTTCAATTTAGACATCTCAATCGTTCGCTGCGCTCACTCCTGAGATATCAATTGAATACTCGAAGAATAAAATTCGTACAAAGCCGAGAATTGGACTTTATGAATAATCAGTTTACTCAATTTAAGTCAAGTGCAATCAGTACTGATGGCAAGAAAAAGCTCTCTCGAGCCCACCAATAAAAAGAAAAAGATAAATGACAAGTTTTGTGAACACCCTCAAGAAAATCTATCTTTACACGCTATTGCCTTTGGCGATTACTTGGCCTTTCCGTTCGCATGATCAAATGTCCAAATTTTTGCCAAGAAAAGGCCGATAATGATCATCAGTAAGAGTTCAAATTTACTGGATCTTAAAACACGGAACTTTTTACTACAGTGAGACGAAAAAAAAAAATTATGATGTTTACTATAATTATAGGGCTATCGAAATATTACAACTATACCAATCGCGAAGTGTAGATCGTACAACAAATATGTTGTTATATTAATTTTATAGTTGTACTTGTTAATACCTTTATCACTGAAGAGTTTTCATTAAGAAGAAGAAGAAGAAAAAGAAAAAACATTATCATTTGCTATCATTATCCTTAATATTTTGAATCTTTGCTTAAAATGTCTAGCGTCTATCTGGCGGCTTGTCTTTTGACTAGGCAAAACATTTTGCCGGCTTAATATAACGGGGAAATTTTTTTTTTCATGTTTGCCGAAAAGAACAACACAACAGCTCACGGCAAATTTATAATTAGCACTAACCTAGGCACTTCCGGAAATTTCAAAATTCAAAAGTAATAAAATGCAAGTTTAATTGTCAGAACAACAAATTGTTTCATTAAAATAAAATAAAATAAAAAATCACTTTACAAAAAAAAAAAAAAAAAAAAAAAAAAAAAAAAATTTGTTGGATAATGAATAAATATGAAAAAATACTTTCAATGTCTGGAATTTTTCGAAGTACATTCGTCCCATACATAATCTCTGTGGCGGATAATTATGGGGGGGGGGGTTCATTGGGTGCAAATGAATCCCCCTCCCCCCCCCAACCGGCTGATACCTCGGATTTTTTATATTTTTTAAAATAAATAAATAAAAGTATGGTACTAACTCATGAGATTTAATATGAAATGGGACTGGTGGATAGGTTATACTTATCAGGAGCGCCCCTAGGCCAGTGATGTGCCTCATGGGAAAAATGATGATGCAAGAGAACGTTATTGTCGTGCCGAGATTTGCAAAAATGAACCCCCCCTCTTAAAGTCCTGGATCCGCCACTGAATCTGCCTACTTTTTTTCCTGATATACATATTTTAAAATTGACTTTGGTTACGTTTTTTCCAGTTAAGCACTATATATATATACACACTTGATTGCAGAAAGGTTGTAGTATACATTTATTCAAATATCTAATGAGATGCAAGATATCAAATGAGATGCAGAATTTAAAACATGTGTAAATACGATTGCTAAGCCACAGCATTTTGTCTAAATTAAAATACTTTTTAACTTGAGTTTGTGAAATACGTGTGTCTCTGATACATTCAGATCAGAAGATAAGGCAAGACCAAATAATACTTTTTATGTTACTTATGTTTTGCATCTCATTTGATATCTTGCATCCCATTAGATATATGTATAAATGTATACTACAACCCTTCTGCAATCAAGTGTATATATGTATATAATATATATTGCACGTGAAGTCCTTGGTGTCAGCCCTACGTGCCGCACACAGGCATAGAGGATGATGATGATGATATATTGCACGTATGGAGAACTTTATTCCGATTTAAAAACATATTTTTTATGAAGAAAGAATATATTCTATAAAAAACAAAGCGAACCGTCATTGTGACCTTAGATTATATAAATCATGTCGAAGGGTGGACAATTAATCTCGATGTAAGAGCACCTATTCCATCCGTGATAGTTATATCTCTCCGTGTCGAACGATCCCCTGGAGATTTACCAAAATGATAGATAGATTGAAAATCTAGTAGATTCGGAAAATAGTACTTCTTTATTTTACTGATTCGACGTCAATAATTTATTGACTTTAACACGATAAACAAACGCTCTTAACAAACACATGCACGTGCAAAGAAAGCCTTTCTTGCGAGCAAAAAAAATGGGGTGATTTATGATAGGCGTAAACTATTTGAGATAAATTATTTTCGAGTTCCAAATTGATTTACCGATGTGTGCCTTGATTACAGGTTCATTTACTCGGGCTGAATTAATGAACGAACGAATGAACGAACGAATGGACGAACGGACGGACGGACGGATCAGACGGATGAATGAATGAATGAATGAATGAATGAATGCATGAATGAATGAATGCATGAATGAAAGTCTAAGTAGAATATAGAAAGAATGATGAGATTTAGGGGGAAAAGATGCTATTACCGCCATATAAATGCGTCTCACCTTATTTTTATTTAGTCAAAAAGTCTAAAGAGAGAATATAAAAAAATGATACGGATTTAGGAAAAAAGATGCCATTACCGAAATATATATGCGTCTGCATGTAAAGCTATTTGTGGAGCTTAAAACTAAGACATGGGGCTTCTATAAACATTTTAACAAAATGCCAAGGCTCTTGGTGGTTCTCTTCAATGATATCAAACATGCTAAGGGCATTAGCTTGAAAACAAAAACCTTTATTCAAGAGGCCGTTTATAAATGAAATTATGGTGGTCCTAATGCAAATATTCTTTTGTTTGCATAAATCCAGATAAATATACCCATGTGAGTAGAGTTTGTTAGGTCTCTCCCTTGATTCAAGGATTTTTCTCCTGGGTCTACGGTTTTCTTTCCTCCTCAAAAACCTAACATGCTATCTTTCAATTCGATCTGTGAGCTTATACTGACTTTGATAAGCAAGGAGTCTGCATGTTTTAGGGTATTGGCAAAATTTTAAAGGTACCTATATTGAAAGAATTCTACTCTACAAACTAAAAACGGGACTTTTATAAAGACCGCTTACATAATTAGTTTCTGAAACAAAGACGGAAAACGATGCTGACTGRGCAGCTGTTGTCTCTGGGGTTGCCAAAGGTCTGCAGAGGAGGACGCAACCGTTGGCAAAATAGGTATGCGCATGACTGCATTTACTTGCGCGCATAAACAATTAGCTTACGCACGTGTCTGCATTAACTTATCACATGAAGACTTAGCTTGCACATGACTGCATTTGCTTACGCACATGAAGACTTAGCCTGCGCATGACAGCATTTACTTATGCACATGAAGACTTAGCTTTCGCATATGGCTGTATTTACTTACATACAAAGACATAGCTTGTGCATACGACTGAATATATATGAGAACGGATTTTACCCACATGATGTAGTGTCCATGCAATGAATCCATGACTTCGAAAAAGAGATGCAGTATATTTAGCAGCTTACACAACCCATCGGCTTTCCCAATAAATCCAAGTACGTAGCTACAAACATTTTGGTTTAAATTTTATTCTTATTTATCTTATTTTCTTTTAGATAATCATTATAGAGTGCAAGTCATATACGCGTGATACAAAACCAAATGTATTTTATCTAAAAGACCCGTTTCGAATTCCAAATTACCGCCGTGTTTCTTGATTACAGACTCATTTGCACAGGGTTAGCCTTGAGTTTGTGCAGAATATTCACGTGTTCCAGTCAAGGTCCGTCGAGTTTCAAAATGTTTGTATTGTTGAAGTTGTGAATTCTTTACTTTACTGTTGGTATTTGTGAATATTTAAACACTGATACGAGTCTGTAATCAAGGAACACAGCGGTAATTTGGAATTCGAAACTGGTCTGTTGCAGCTAGATATAGTTTGCTATTTTGTACGAAAATAGAGGAAATTACTGGAGCGGAAGACTTATGCGTCTTTGTTTGGTTCATGCCTAATTAAGGTGACTGCCTACTTTTGGAAATTGATTTAAGCTTTTTTTAAAACTTCGATTTTCCGAATTGAAATTTAATGCTGATTCCAAATCTGGAAAGAAAAATAGCTCGTTTTCGAGATAATCAGCATTTAATGGAAGCCTACGCACGAGCTTTTGGAGTAAAAATTGCGCCAC